AATTTTTACAAATAATTTTTCATAACACAAGAAAATGACACAACATGCTAAGTAGTTAAAACAAGGAAGCAAATTCAATATTACATTAAAACATGTTAAAAATAGGGGTGCATGGGTGGCTCAGTCATTAAGCGTCTGCCTTTGGCTCAGGTCATGATCCCAGGGTTGGGCTCCCTGCTCAGCGGGGAGCCTGCTTCTCCCTCCCCCTCTCCCCCTGCTTGTGTTCACTCTCTCACTGTGTCTCTCTGTCAAATAAATAAATAAAATCTTTTAAAAAAATGTTAAAAATATATTTGTGTATACATATATACAGGTATAGTAATATATGAGAGAGAGATGAATGTACTAATACCAAATGTATGAGATACATTTTTTTAAATGTTTGATATTTTTTAACAGAATGTTACTTGGAGTGTGATTTCAAATGCTTTTGTTTTCTTCCTTAGAGTTTTCTTTATTCCTACATTTTCCAAAGTACATTACTTCAATAATCATAAAGAAAGACCTTAGAGCTAAAGATAATGATTCTAAAGTCAATCTGAGGATAATGGGATCTCTATGCTCTAGGAGGTAAGAAAGGCCATCTTAGGTTATTCAGGTTGTGAACCGCCACATCTAGGCAGATGCTATTCACATTGTAGGCATATAATAAAAGGACTAGAGATGTTTAGCCTTTTCAGTTATGCAGTAGATCAGAGACTCTCTTATATAAAGCCACCTGACGTTCATAGTCATGAACATAATTGAATCATCTCTCATACACACAACGAACAACACACACGTGAGATAGTTTTGCCCTTTCCCTTCAATCCCTTGGGCATTTTGCCTCTTTCCCTTGCTTATCTCTCTTAGATGCCTGATGCCTACTTCAAACTTGACACAGTTCCTTCATCTAAAGGACTTGTTCTATTCTTTCAAGTCCTCCTTTCTTTTTATTTTTTTTTAAAGATTTTATTTATTTGAGAGAGAGAGAATGAGAGACAGAGAGCATGAGAGGGAGGAGGGTCAGAGGGAGAAGCAGACTCCCTGCTGAGCAGGGAGCCCAATGCGGGACTCGATCCCGGGACTCCAGGATCATGACCTGAGCCGAAGGCAGTCGCTTAACCAACTGAGCCACCCAGGCGCCCTCAAGTCCTCCTTTCTTAGGATACTTGATTTTTTTTTTTTTTGGTTTTGTTCTTTATTGAATGGAATCAAAAGTTTTGACATTTCTTTGAAGCTTGGAACTAAATTTCATTTCTCTGAATGATTCTACATCTTTTTTCTTAGTGGTGCAAGTTGTCTTAAGTAGCGAGTCAGTCTCTACAAAGTACTTCGGTCTGTTACCATTCTGATAAAACAAAAACAATTCTTCATTAACTTAACAAAAACAATTCTTCATTAACTTAACCGTATATGTATTTTTGCTGTAACTCTTTTTTTTTAATTTATTTTTTATTTTTTTATTTATTTTTTTTTTGCTGTAACTCTTAACACATGAACAGACATCTATTATTTTTGCACTAAAACAAAAGGGTACAATAGTTTTCTTCTATCAGTATTGTATTTAAAAAAGGTTAACATTAAAAACAAAGAACCATTATTTTCTTTGAAATTGTTAAGCTTCTTGCACATCTTAAGCTTCCTTCTTCTGCCTGCACTCTTCTGCCAATTTATTCAGAAATTTCTTTAATTTCTGATAATGAGGAAGGCTGCTGCAATGAGTATTCTTTGCAACTTCTTCATTTGTATAAGAGTGAACACAGCTTACAGTAAAACCCGGTTTAGGTATCACATAGTTCGGCAGCTGCAAAGGAAAAGCTAAAAAAGGTGGACAAGATCGAGGAACTTGATCAAGAAAATGAAGCAGCACTGGAAAATGGAATTAAAAATGAGGAAAATACAGAACCAGGTGCTGAATCTGCTGAGAATGCTGATGATCCCAACAAAGATACAAGTGAAAATGCAGATGGCCAAAGTGATGAAAACAAGGAGGACCATATAATCCCAGATGAGTATAGATTTGGATCATATCAGCCCAATGTTCCTGTTGGTATAGACTATTAGGATCCTTGATTTTAACCAGGCCTCCTTTGTCAATCACCCTACCTGGAGAGACAAAAGAACCTTAGTTTTCTCTCAGATGGAGTAGCATTTAAGAACAAATAGTAAGAAGAAAATGATGCTGACAATCTTAGTTATTAAGAAAATACCTATGGGGTGCTTGGGTGGCTCAGTTGTTAAGCATCTGCCTTCGGCTCAGGTCATGATCCCAGGGTCCTGGGATCAAGCCCGGCATCGAGCCTGGCATCAAGCCCCGCATGGAGCCCCACATTGAGCCCAGCACCGGGCTCCCTGCTCAGCGGGAAGCCTGCTTCTCCCTCCCCCACTCCCCCTGCTTGTGTTCCCTCTCTTGGTGTGTCTCTCTCTTTCAAATAAATAAATAAAATCTTAAAAGAAAAGAAAAGAAAAGAAAATACCTATATAACTATTTCAGTTTTACATGAAATAAATACCAAGCTATAGATACATTCTGAGCTGGTATCATACCAATGAGCTAACTGAAGAAACTTCATCAAGTTACCAGGTAAGGGCAAAACTCAGTGAAGGAAATAAAAATAGAAAGAATTTAATACAAAAAATTAGGGGCTGAAAAAAATCACTGAAAGCTGGAGGAGCAAAAGTCAGGTGTCTTCTAAAGCTACTGCGTTCAAGAGCACCACCGTAACCTTGATCCACATATAAAGAAGCCTCTATGGAGGCCGCTGCAGCTGCCCCCATTGGATGCCACCAGTTCTCTCTCAACATCCACAAGGCTAAGACTGTGGAACACCAAGTGAGTGTGCTGAGCAGAAAGAACACCGGCAAGATAGCCTCTGCCTCATTTCCAGCTAATTAGTGTTGGTTCTCTTTCTATCATTGTTTCTGTGGAAAAAATTCACTTCAAATTCTAAATAACTAGTCTGCAAACCAAGTTTTCAAAAATATTCTATTTGTAATTTGGAGTCGGTGCGCTCTTAAAATAACAAACACATACCATCCCCTAAAGAAAAACTAGATGAAACAAATCCTTAGGTTGTATTTTATAGTCACCGAATTCATTTACTTCTTCCTCAAGCATTTGTATATCTGTAGTCACCATCATTGCAAGGGAGTGCATAAAAATTTTAAATTTCATTTGCAGGACTTGAAAAAAAAGAAGAAAACAAGTCTTGGTGATAATATTATCAATAAATGATTTATCACAAAAGCTTGCTTCTTATACTAAAGGACTGCATTGCCCCAATTTTTTGTTCATTTTTGGTTTCTTGATAAGAAGTTCTTCTTTGGTACGGATTTGGGGTAAGTGCATATCTCTGGTGTAATTTTCAATTATTGTCTATGTAGGCTTACAGTACATAAATACATCATCTGATAAAAAAAAATTTTTCAAACATTTCAAAGGAGTACAGGAAAATAAATTTCCATGACAGGCAATGAAAGAAGCAGGTACGCAAAGTGATAGGATATATGTTTTCTAGGATATTTGTTTCATTTTTGTTTGTTTGTTTCATCCTTTTTCTTTGTACCATAAGCAATTTTGGTAAGACCAGAGATACTGATGATGTGAAATCCACAGAAGTGTAAATGAAGTAATATTTTACATGCTCCCTTAAAACATTTGAAAATTTACTTTGAGAACCTCGGTTCAAATTTATCCCCCTCACCACCACCATCATCCAGGGAGTTCCTGTTGCTGTTTTCTTCACTTTTCCAGTTGAACAACTAAACCAAGAGGAAACTAAGCCCTTTAGCTACTGAGTCATGGTATAGTTGGGGGTGGGGGGGGCACTAGGAAGGGAATCAGGAAGATCTCCTAGCGACCAATTATTTGCTTCAGTCAAAAATTATACTTCCACATGGTGAGCCAGCCTAATGCTAAGGCATATTTTGTGTGTGCCATGCAATGGTATTTCTGTTTTCTAAATAAAATGTTGAAATACTAGAAGTTATACTTTATTAATGCATTTAGTGATGATATTGGAGTTTGTGAAATGTGACAAAAAGGACAGATGGAGAATAATGAAAGGAGACAGGTATCAGCTGATTGTCCCAACAGTATAGGCTGGAGCAAAGGCAAATAATCATTTGAATTTCTGCTCCTTAATGTGATTCTGAAGGTTGGCTGATCTCAGGTATTTTCAAGAGTCTAATTACTGTTTTTGCTGGTGAAAATCCATCCTACATATAATTCAATTTCTTTTATTAAATTTCTTGCTTAATCTTGAAGACATTTGATATGTTGTAATGCCTATTATCATACTTCATGTAGTGAGAACAAATTCAGAGAGTTTCCAAAATTACCCAACTTCTCTCCCTTATTACCTCTGGCCTCTTAATACTTCTTTCCCTTTGCTACTAACTGAAAGCAATTTTCTTGCTTTTTCACTTTTAAAATGAAGTTTAGATCTCATCTGTGTTCATGTGAAGAACCTACTCTTGGAGAGTCCCTGTCAAGATATCCATTGTAATACTCGCTCCTACACATGCCTTCAGACATTGATTGCTTATCTAGAGAAATACACCCACACCTTTTCAGAGGCGCTACATGTGGGTTCAGAAATGCCAAGATGGAGGGCAGGAAGGGAGCAGCTATCCCCTAAAACACAGCACAGGGGTATGGACTTGAAGTTGAAAAAAAAGTGTTTACATGTAAGGCTTTAGATAAGTGACCGTTATGGAAGGTACTTCCACAGAGCCCTGGGTGTCGGCCTGAGCCTCCTCTGCCCGACGGCAGGGGAAGGGCCGTGCTGACCCCGCCAGGCACGCGATCCCGGGGCACTCGCCACGGCGCACGCACGACCCCGCAGCCCGGCCCAGAGCGCGCCGTCTAGCCGCTCCTCGGGGCAGCTTCCCCGAACGCCGCAGCGACCAGCGCCCCACGCCGAGCAGAGCACAGGCTCCGCCCGCCCGCCTACTTCCCTCCGCCGCCGGGTGGGGCTCGAGAAACCGGCCGGGCCGCGCCGCCTCTCCCCGCTCACCTGCTCGCGCTCCTCCAGCGGCCGCTGCCCGCGTCGGCGCGGGCTCGCCCCGGGCTCCGGCTCTGGCCCCGCCACCGGCCGCTCCGCCAGCGCGTCCCCGTCCTCGTCGCGCTCCCCACCGCTGCTGCCGCCGCTGCCAAGCAGCTCCCCGGCCGAGCACATCCCGTCGCCAACTCCCGCCGCCGGGACGGCCGCCGGAGGAGCCGAGCGTGAAACGCGAGGCAGCGGCCGCCACCCGAGGGCCGCCCGGAGATCGGCCGCGTTGCCACACACACGAGCCTCCGGAGCGCGCCCCGCTGGCCAGGGTGCCAGAAGTAACAGCCCGGCCCGGCCTCTCCTGTCACTGGCTCGCCCCGCCCCGGCCTCCGGGGCGGAGCCCACCCGGGGGCGGGGCGACGGCGGGGGCGGAGCCAACGGGGGAGTGTGTGAGACCTAAGAGCGAATGTGTGTGTTCGCGCGCGTTTGTGAGACTGTGTGTAAGACAATGTACATTAAGAGACTGTATGTATGTGTGTGAGATTGTATGTGAAGAGAGTGTCTGTGTGTATGAGATTGTGTGTGTGTGTGAGACTGTTGTGTGAGAGTGATTATGTACATAACAGATTTTAAGAGATTGTATGTGTGAGCGTGTGTGTGTGAAAGTGTTAGAAAAGGAGTGTGTGAGACAGTGTGTGTATGTAAGAAAGTGTGTTTGTGAGGGAGAGAGGAGAGCATGTGTATTGGGGTGTGTGTGTAATACACAGTTACACCCCAGCGGGGTACCTCTGTTCTTCCCTGGCACGGGGGCTGTGCCTGGGTGTGCTGCTGGATGCCTGCCTGAGTAGCCGTCCATCCTTTGCAAGTAATACACATTTCTCTGTCTCTTTTGTTCCTTTTGTCTTCTGTCTAGTATCTCTCTGAAGGTTTGTGTCTTTGTCTCTGTTAAGTGTTCCTCTGGTGTGTGTTGGTTGTTGGAGCCTTGAGAGCATTTGGTAGGATATCTGCCTTTGTGTATATTTCTATAAATGGGCAAGGATATGTCTCTCTCTCTCAGTGGATGGTAAGGGGGATACAACTAATTCATGAATCTTTTCCTTACTACCTGTGATATTGTGATTTATAAGAAATATACAGTTGACCCTTGAAGGATGCAGGGGTTAGGGGCACTGACCTGCACAATCAAAAATCCGTGTATAATGTTTGACTCCTCCAAAACTTAATTACTAATAGCCTAGTGTTGACTGGAAGCCTTACCGCTATAACATATATAGTTGATTAGCATATTTTGTATGTTATACGTATTATATACTGTATTCTTACAATAAACTACACTAGAGAAAAGAATATGCTACTAAAAAATAGTAGGGAAGAGAAAATACTTAATAGTCCCGTAAAAAATCCAAGTATAAGTGGACCTGCACAATTCAAACCTGTGTTGTTCAAGGGTCAATCATATATTTGGTTTTCATCCCATTCTGGGAACAGAGCTCCTAGAGTCTTGGAATTTTCTACTGGAGGAGAGCGATAAATGTCTTTTGTTATGCTGATGAGGATACTTTTGGAAAGTCTCTAGTTAACTAAGGATAGGGACTAGTTGCCAGGAGAATAAGCCTGGTGATTAGAAGGTTAGAACTTTTAGTCCCACCGCCTGAACTCCAGAAGGGTAGAGAGGTGTTGGAAGTTGAATCAATCAGTGATGGTCAATGATTTAATCAATCATGTCTATGCAGTGAAGCCCCCATGGAAGCCCAAAAGGACAGAGGTTCCTAGAGCTTCTGGGTTAGTGAACACAAGAACATGTAAGCAGAGTGATTTGCACAGAGAACATGGAAGCTCAGTGCTCCTTCCAATACATCTTGTCCTATGTACCTCTACATCTGGCTATTCATCTGTATCCTTTATATTATCCTTTATATATATAAACTAGTAAAAGTTTCTCTGAGGTCTGTGAGCTGTTCTAGCAAATTCACTGAACCAAGGATGGGGTCATGGAAACCTCCAATTTAGAACCAGTTGGTTAGAAGCACAGGTAACAACCTGGACCTGCACTTGGCATCAGAAGGAGGGCAGTCTGTGGTGCTGAGCTCTTAAGGTGTGAGATCTGTGATCTTATCTCCAGGGAATAGTGTCAGAACTGAGTTAACTGCTTGGTGATGTTAGAAAACACACATCAAACTACCCTACCCATTTTGTTGAAGGGAAGTTGGACAGTGTTTAAAAAAAAAAACAAAAAAACTTTTTATATCTTTTATCTGTTCTTTGAGAAAATTATAGACAATTGTATAGAGAAAATATCAAGCTATTTGTCAATGGAAAATAAATATGCCTGTGTATGGAGAAGAATGAGTTACTTGGACTCTTTGATTAAAATGTCTTCAGGCCCAGAGAGGGAATTAAAATAGACAGAAAGTTAAAGACTTGTTTTTATCTTTTTTTTAGAGATTTTTATTTATTTATTTGACAGAGAAAGAGAGTGCTCAAGCAGGGGGGTGGCGGGAGGTGGGCAGTTGGTGGAGGGGAAGCGGCGGGCAGAGGAAGAGGGGGAAGCAGGCTTCCTGCTCTGGGCTCAATCCCAGGACCCTGGAATCATGACCTGAGCTGAAGGCCGATGCTTAACTGACTGAGCCACACAGGCACCCCTTAAAGACTTATTTTAAAGACCTATTTCCTGTTTTTGATAATCAGGACTAGAAACTAGAAGATATGCCTTTGGATATCACAAATTAGAAAGAAAATTAATCTGGTTTATTTCCTTTTTTTTTTTAAGATTTTATTGATTTATTTGACAGAGAGAGACACAGCGAGAGAGGGAACACAAGCAGGGGGAGTGGGAGAGGGAGAAGCAGGCTTCCTGCTGAGCAGGGAGCCCGATGTGGGGCTTGATCCCCGGACCCTAGGATCATGACCTGAGCTGAAGGCAGACGCCTAATGACCTGACCCACCCAGGTGCCCCTATTTCCTTTCTTAAAAGCCTTTTAAAACCCAGAGGAAAGTATTTAATATTATATATATAATCAGAAACAAATATCACCATGGGAAGCCAAAAACATTCCCTGATGGGCCTCTTTGCTTTGCTCTAATGACAACATTTTCATTCTTGAAATTTTGCTTTGGCTTTCAATAGTGTTTCTTATAAAAAGTTGCCTTATAAATGTTTTACAAAAAGCTTTATGATTATATATAGTGGCACAGAGAACATCAGCCTTTTACTGCCAACTCTGGATGGAGCTTAAGACACATTTTGAAGTTCTCCCTCTTTTGGCTTGTGTCTGACAACTTGATAAGTCAAGCAGTTATGTGCTCTTCAGTCAGGCTACAGAGTGAAAAGAAATTGCTTATATACATGAAGATTCAGAAGGCACAGAATATATATATAGCAGGGCAGGTAAAAAGAGTAATATAGAGATTAGTTTTATTCAACTTGGTGGTCAAGTCTTACAGAAGTCCTTTAGTCTAGAATATACTCTCTGGCCTTTCAGAGATTCAGGCTTCTTCTGAATTGTTGTCAGTCATTTAACATGTATTTATTGAACACCACTAGGCATTAGCCCCAGGTCTATGTCCCTACTCTTAAGAAGCTTCCATTTTATTCTCTTTCAAATTCTCATCTGATTATCTGGCAAAATTTAAGAACTTCCGCCAAAGGGTGGCCAGAATCCTCTGATCCTCAGCCAGGACTGATGTCACAACTTCTTCCTTTTCTTAGTGTTGTCTACCTTTCATTTAGTGAATGAGTTTCTCTTTGAACTGTGATTCTTTTGTTCATAGACTTTGGTCTTTCCTGGAGATTTAGGGAATCACCTCTTAAAAAAAAAATCTAGGGGCGCCTGGGTGGCTCAGTTGGTTGAGCAACTGCCTTCGGCTCAGGTCATGATCCTGGAGTCCCTGGATCGAGTCCCGCATCGGGCTCCCTGCTCAGCGGGGAGTCT